AACAAATTGTTCCCACAATAGTGCAAAAGGCTGATACCCTAGTGAAGCTTTTCGCACCCCCCTTCTCAAAATGGAAGGCAGCTAACCACCCAAAGAAAAATCCAAGGTGCAGTAGGGGGAGGTTGCCAAAGACAAACGTAGACAGCTAGCTGCGGCATCTGGATGATGCACGACCTTGGCAGTTCAGACTGACTTTTCCGGAAGCCCAGATGGTAGGATGGAATCGTGGTGCGGTTCCCACTTCGCGTGCACGCCACGGCCAGAATGGAGCATGGCATCAAGCTCGTCAATTAAACATATGAACTACAAATTACATGAGTTCTCTGTGGCGTGTCAGGGCACAGGCTGATGCGATCATGCACAAACGCTCCCAAAGCTGCCGCTCCTCGCAAATGCGTGGCAAGAACGCATCTGAATGGAATCCAGCCTACAGGACGCAACCAAAACACAAAAAGTTCAATGTTGCTTCTGTACAGTGAAAACACCTTGTCTCAGGGCTGCAGGTTGTGGTCACCATTTTCCAAGCCCTTCTTCTTTGAGCCAGTCTGAAAGATTCTCAAGATAAGAGCTCGACAAAAATATGACAGTGTGACCGGGACGCCTCACTGCTGGACACCTCTGAGACAGTCAAGGCCGAGACCATCGCCTTTCGCAAAGAGAGGGTATGTCGGAAGGCCACTTTTTGACCTCGCCTGCTTGCGATATGGCAAGTCAAATTTTTGTTTGAACACAAGGAGGAGAGAAAAGAAATCCCTGCCTCGGCAAAATGCCAGGTCATCAAGCGACAAAGCCTCAAGTCAAGAACCTTCAACAAACTAAACAACCAACGCTGAAAACGTGCGCAAAATCTACCTGGCAGCTCTGGTCGTCTGGCCCGCATGCAAATTGGGTAGATGTTATCTCCCAAAAAAACGTACATGTGCTCAAACATCCTGTGCAGTACATCATATTCTGTACCTCCCTGATCACTTCGCTGCGGCCTCACTTGTGCCAAGGAGCAAAAGATAGAGATTTGCAGCTTGAGTTGGCGCAAAAGCAAACGTTCCAGAAAGGTGAATTGGATAGTAGTAGTGGCCTGAGATCAAAATCAAGTGGGCTCTGGCGACCTCACTAGAAAGTTGCTGTCGCTCAGGCGTATCCTAGAAGCTCAAGATTCAAGATACTCCAAAATATGCCCGTTCCCTAGGTCACAAAAAATCCGCTAGCCGCTAGCCGCGAAACAAACAAAGCTCTCCCATTTATTGCGCAGTGTCATTGTGGCATGATGTGCAACACAATCAACACTGCTGCACGGCGAACAATGATATATATATATATATATTGACAACATCAACTTCTGTGTGGGCCTGATTGGAACACTGAGGCTCTAGGGTTCAAAGCGGGAGCCTTCTGCAAGGTTTTCGACCCAGTCCTGCCAAGGATAAATTAAGGTCCAACAAGATCCTTTCTACCAGGAACGCAAAATCACCAATAGAAACAAATTGTCTAGAAATCTAGAAAATCCTGTAGCTCAATGCGACAGCCTGGCATACACAACCTTGCATCGCACAACGCCACGCCTGGTTCTCCCGTCGCAACACTAAAGGAGAAGGCAGGAAACCATCAGCTGACGGACCAGCCTTTGGTCAAGCATCGTGTGGCTCTGTGCCACTGGAGACCGGGACATGTGTGTGTGTAACTCGATAATTTTGTAGCTGTGTCGAATATGACTATGACTGGCCTCAACTTGCCTCAACCTAGAAGCAGCGGAAGGACCGACAACAGCAGTCAGAATAAACACTTGTCAACAGTTCTGCAGGATGACATAACAAGTCACAATTGTCATAATCTATTGATGGCCTAGTGAAGCTCACACGAGAATCCAACAGATGTATAGGGCACTAAAAACCACTGCAGCACACACCTGCTTAGTTTAGGTTTCTATTTCATCTAGAGTCCCACGCTGCCGGACGAATGGGCTCGGCCAAAGCCTCGGGCGCAGCTCATGGTGCAGCCATCTGGTGAGAGCTTTCCGATGTACTCCAGCTCACTGAGACTCCAAAATGCTGCGTCTGAACATGTCTCCTTGCGCCCCCCAGCTACCTTGCTCGGACCTTTGTTCACCTCCTACGGCTCATCGGGACTTCTCATCACTTGAGAAAGAAAAGGAACTGTTCACTCTAGGCCAATCTATGCTAGGTCTCCCGGCTGACACCAAGACTCTCAACTCGTGGCTTTGATTCTGAAGCAAGACCTCAACCGATAACGATGAAAAAAACATCCTTTACAAAACATGGAGAAAACGTGCACAACACCGGTGCACATCCACGCACTATGTTTTGTCTTCTGCTCAGCGAAAAGATCCTCTTCTCCATCTCCGGTTTCGGCGCTGTCTTCCTTCAGCCCAATTGCTCCAATATGATGCACACGGTCATGTTGGGGACGTGACTCCAAACTCCCAAGGGTGCACAGCCGCTCGAAGTGTCCGTACTCCCTGCCGCTTGCGTGTAGCTTGAATCCAGCGATGTAGGAGTGAACTGCAGACTGTTCATGGGGCAATTCGCAGGATTCTCTTGGCATTCTGTGGCATGCAATACCTTGGGCTGCCAAGAAACTGGCAATAATACCTTACAAAACGGGGCCCAATTCTGCCAAAGCCAACTAAGGTTTTCCTGGATCGGCGCCTTGACTGATGAAATACTAGATATACTAGCAGCTTTCGATGGTTTCATCTACTCTTGAATATGCCCGACCCAAAAAAGCGCTGCTTCAAATACCACGCTGCATTTCACCATTTGCAACCACTCCGCCTTCCCATTTGTCCTGGAGCATCGGGTTCTCCTAAGGCCGGGGCTTTGCTGTGCAAGAAATTCTATTTCCCGCACAAATGCTGCTGGCTTTCTGTATAATGTCAACCTGGTATTAGGGAACCCCCCCCTATTAGTCTACCCCGCGTTCAGGCCCCAATAATAAACTAATTTGAACTATAAATTTCCACAGTCACCACCCTCTAATAAAATTTTTGCTTGGCTGAACCCCCCCCCCTATTAGTCTACCCCCTGTCCCTCCAGGAAAAATATAATTACTCAAACAAAAAGTGTTTCCTTTCATATAATTCCCTTTCATTCCAATTCTTCCAAATACTAATTCCCTTTCATTCCAATTCTTCCAAATACTAATTCCCTTTCATCATCAGGTCATCCCCACTATTAGGGGGATGTGATCTCCAAAACCTCGAATCTCAGACCTTGTTGACCTTGTTGACCTTCTAGGGGGGGGGGGGGGGGGGGGGGGGGGGGCCCGTTGATTAATACGACGTTGGCATTATGGACAGCCAGCCAGCACTCGGTTCATGCACAAACTCACCGAGTCAAACTCAGGAGTTCTTTCTCTGCACAAGGGCCACTGTGCCACAGTTTCACGAGTCCAAAGTACAAGATGTGACCCTCCGCAGGGCCCGCCCGCCTTAAGAGACTGTCTAAAGAAAGTCGAAGTTGTCGGTGCCGGTGTTCAGCAGAAGGATTTTTACAAGTACTATATATAGATCTACAATTACACTCCCAAACGTATCCCTGGCAGCACTGATTTTAGAGGGCTATGTTAGTCCTTGCAACTAAGAATATTGCCATTCTGGAAGACTCCACATCCATTTTAGAGGGCATGTTAGTCCTTGCCCGTGCCAAAAACAGATTAACATGTCAACCCCCCCCAAAAGAATACAGTCAATGAAACCCATGTTTGCCATGCTTCTTGTGCATGTGAACAATGTTTCAAATCCCAACCATCTGAAGTCTAGAGCTTCCAACATCTTGCTTCTTTAATTTAAGGGATGTTAGCATGTTCTCGATGAACATATGATATATGTATATAAAGAGAGGGGTAGATTTAGGTTTTGAATCTGCATGGGTATGTATGTTGGCAATGACGCGACAAAATGGACATGTCAGCCCCCCATGGTCCAGTCGCTTGAGACTGGGAATATTGAAATCCTGACTATCTGAAGTCTAGAGCTTCCAAAACCAGTGTTTGGTGAGCCGACTAATTTTGTATACATTTCTTACATAAAAATACTCGTTTCAACACCGTGTCTTCAATTCCTGACCATCTCGTGTTTCGTGAGTCGACCAATTTTGTATAAATCCCTTACTTAAAACTTATTTCAACTCTTCTCGCAAACACCGCTTGTGCCCTTTCAACATCTGTCCACTAACCTGGACAAAAACAGAATCCACTTTAGGGGGATACGTTGGATTTGGGGAGAGTATCATCTATACGCCTACAGGTAATACGCTTGCATCTGTAAGCACACGTCTGTACACGTAAGCATGTTCGAGCCATGTGGCTATGCGACACCTACATCTTTGGACGCACACCAAGATGCACACTTAAACGCACAAGTACACCCGTGCACACCTACATTTCGGTACAGATACATCTGTGCACACATACATTACGCAAATGTCTACATACGTTACATCAAATATAATCATATATCTACACACAGTCTTAGCACATGATGATGATCGCACAGTGGGCTGCTGAGTGACAGGGCCACAAAGGACTTTCAGGCAAGAGCACCCTGAAAGGATGTGTGCGTGTCAGCCCTACTTCTTCCTTGAAGGAGCATGGAACGCATGGGGTGCACACCGACCATGCCTTGTCAGCTTGCTGTCTGCACCCGTTTGGGAGGGAATTTCATTGCTGCTATCTATATAAATCATTCTAGATCTGCGCATGCTTTGCGAAGCACGAGTCAGCCACCGTCCAAATGTCTCCTTTGTGGAGAAGTCCGCGTAATCTTCTGGACGAAAGGCACATGAACAAATTATATATATATGATGACATGATGATGGTGATGATGATAGGGACGATGAATTAGTGGCTATTCTTTAAGGAGAACTTTCGCGGGTGCTTTGGGGATCAAGCCGCAAGCCCCTAAAGTAATTAGTAACAAATCAAATATGTCAGGCATATCGTGCCAGGAGTGTCTAAGATAGCCTCGGCTCAAGTCGGGTTATGATCTAACGGCATCTAACGGCACCAAACAGGTGCCCGCACAATTCAACTGCACACGGCCAAGGCTCCATATCGATGGGCAGCATCTGTACCCGGTCAGTGCGGCAATTGATCTGCAGTACACCAGGCGCATTGCAAGGAATAGCGTACCTCAAACTCCAGGCCCCCTGGAAAATACATGGAATACGTCTGTTGGTGCATGGCACCGCCTGTGAAGAAGGAGCTCAGTGGGCAATTGTGCTCTGACCGTGTTTATGCAACTTTGTATGATCTCTCTCTCTCTCTCACTATGATGTGGTCGTGGCTCTCAGTTCCACTTCGGCAGAAGTCTGCTTACCCAAGTTGCACATTCCCATCTTTTCCGACAAAGCCATTTTGCCACCTTGGTCCACAGCTGTCAACGCCATCTTGAAACTGGAAACGCTAGAACACATCTCAGAACAGATTATGTTCAATCTGATGCCGCATGAAACAAATGAAACTACTAAGGCACTAAGGCAAGCAAAAACGGAATGTTCCTTTGGGCAAATGCATTGACAGCCACTTTGCCGAAGGCACTTGTTGTGCCCTTCAAAGCGTGGGCCGATGGTCACTACCTCCTCCTTCTCCGGCAGGATCTTCAAAACAAAGTCTGCCTTGGTTCATCAGAGTTGGCGCGTGTGGCTGCCCAAAGACAGGGTCGAACCCCTGGCCCAATGGGTTGTTGTTTTAGTCTCTTTCTCTCCTCTTTCAGGAGGTCTTGGAGTGGTCTCCCCATATCACTAGACACTCACATGGAAGAGTATCACCTGTTTTTGGAATAACAGGTTGGAGGCCGGGGGGAGCGGGCTTTTAAACAAAAGGTGCCAGATCACCTCTTCCGCATTCCTCGGCACTGCTGCGCCAAGGCACATCGCTAGGGAAGCAGTAGATGGTACCATCATCTGCAACCACCCCACCGCCATACTTGTATTTGCCATTCGGCCTCCAAGTACCTTGCAAAATGAGGAAAATATGCCGTGATTGAGCCCTTTAGGTGGTTGGACTTGAACTAGCCGGGCAAAGATCCTCTCACCATGCCGCTTCTTTGGACAAACATCTCGGGCCTTAATTTGCCAGCTGGGAACATGTTTCAACTCATCAATTGCATTGTTTTCTATTTTTTGGCCGACGCTGATATCTTGTGAGACAAATACTTGCTATGGTACATATTGGAGTTCCTCCAAACCAAAGCACGTTCCATGACGTTCCATGCACGTACCAGACACGTGTGGGCAGCAATGCTTCTGCAATCATGCAGAGTCAAGCAGGCTTTGCCACAAGAACGAAGCAACAAATAGCCTTAAGGAACCATCAACGAATCTCAAGGACTCCGTCCTCACTGACCACTCCTGCGGAAGAGTCTGTCACTTTCTTCGCCCGAGGGGCCATCGGCGGAGAATACCCAGGAGACCAGCTCATTGAAGCTAATGCGACTGTCACCATTCCTTGGCCACGGATGTCGTAAACTCTAGGTGTCGCGACAGTCATGGTTCATCCGATGGAGGGGTGCAAAAAACGAACAAGGCTCAGAAAATAGCAGCAATGAAATCACTTGTGACTCACTTGAGCTACAAACATGGTAGACCCTTGAAAAAAGCGAGTGTTAAACTCTCTGCGGGCTTCTTATCAACCCTCTTGAAGATGGCTTCAATGTCTCCATTGCTCATTGTAGGCTTTCCTGCCCTCAACAACCTTTTCACCTCGTCAATGTCCAGCTTTCCATCTGAATTCATGTCATACTCCCAGAATCGTCGGCGCAGCTCATCAGTCCTGGGCTTATTTAGAGCTGCCGCAATCCGCTGTTTGCGCTGCCGTGCTGCTGTGAGCTCTGGGTTCTCCTCCTTCTTCTCTTCCTCCGGCTCAGCCGAGTCAGCTCGTAGCTCGTGAGTCTCCTTCTCCAGTTTTTTGTGTTCTCCAAACCAGCCTAAAACGGGTTCTTTCTTTCGCTCGGAGGTGTAGCACATGCTCTCGGGCACACCGGCATCGCAGGCCATGGTTTGGGTTTGGATGTTGGGCTGTCAAAAGCTATGGTCCTGATCCACTTACCGATACCTACCAAATCCTATCAGTGCAGTATTGAAGCACCCGACGGAATGATCGAAACGGGCATCATGCCTAAATCTGCAGACCATCAGAATCAGACTGGAAATGTTATGTCAACAGAAAGGCATCGCGCGAGCACATAGACCTTGAACTGAGTGTCGCAAAATGTACCAAAGGTTTTTGTCTTGCACGCTCCACCCAATATGCTGATGGTGTGGGGTATCCGTTTATCGGCTTGTCCATGCGAAAACCAGCCAGTACCAAATAAATAGGCCTAGTCAAACACCGCACTACTTCTTTGCTTTTATGTGTTTTTCTCTTAGGGGGGTAGGCCGTAGTATGCGTAACTAGCTAGCAGTAAGGGGTAAGTAAGTAGTAGCTTAAGTAGATACTACAGGAGTCCAAAAAGCTCAGGCTTAATGATTTGGCTCCTGTGTTTATAGATGTTCCTCAACCATTCTAGTGACAAGGCAGCACACCAAATCTCAAATCTCTGTCCTACAGAACGCCTTCCACCGTTCACCAGTCCAAAGATGTCCAAAGTACCACTTTCAATCGGCTGTCCGATGGTTCGCACTGAACCTGTGGATGGCTCAATCTTCAGAACAGCCTAGGAAGGCTGAGGCGCTTGGAGGGGCGGGTTGCTCGTCGCAGTTGCCTGTGCCTATTGATTGGGTGACTTGCAATATGCATGATAGAACTGGGAAAACCTCATATTAACGTATTGTAAATTAGGTCAGTGTTTTAGGCTTTCATGTCAGTCTGCATCAGTATGGTGGTACTGGTGCCCAAACCTTTTCGGCCAAACATCGACAAGGTATTCAATACTCTTTCCAGATTAGTGACTGGATGCATTCGGTGATTCAAACTTCACCACCTTTGGACGTCTTCTCTTCCTTGTTTTCAGAATAGACTGCGTGCTGCGTGGTGGTGATTGCACAAGAATTGCACAGGGTCTCGACTCGCGACAAGTAACTAGGAAACCAGTTGTCGATCCAAGTTGCATCCGCATGCGATGGAATGCCATATATGCAACCATCCTGACACAGTTTTCTTTCACCCTTCCCTTTGATGTTGAAAAATTGGACGCAAGAGGCCGTGCTACACATCGCCAGAATAAATAAGTGCACATCCTACAGATCGAGGAGAACTGCCAACAAAATACACATGCCTTGCCAACAACTCCACCATGCCATTTCCTCGGCTTTCCAACAAAGAAAAAACAACATCGCTTTCCAAAAGTTATTGTGTAAACCATGTAAATATTAAACTAATATTAAACATTTACGTTCATTCCGTTATACACGTTCACTCCCAGAAAGCGTCTTGGGGTTGAAGACGAACTCCCCAATAGCTGCAAAAAGAGAGTGGGAGAGGTATCTGTACAGGTAAATGTGTCAAACATGTATTTGCGTATTGTATGGTCAATTTGTACAGTTGTATGCAATTACCAAAATTTTAGATACACATCGCAGAACAAACACGGGATAAGGACAAGGTGGTTGGGCCAAATACAGCTATGCATGATCATGGGGCATTGAGACAACCTCCAATTATGTATATGATTTTCTGCATTCATCAACCTGAAACCTCACATTCCAAAATTGTATACGGTATGTAAAACATAAACGATAATCTGTGTTAAACTATATATATACCTGTTACATATATCTACAGTATATATATATACATAAGGGGCGGCATAGTGTTATAATAGAAACTGCGGCAGGGTCAACTTCTGAATCTTCTGATGGTATTGTATGAATTGCAATTATTGAGGTTAGCCCGCACCTCCTGTAACGCACATAAAGGGCCATTGTTGGCAGCACTGCTCGGAATGAAACCCTTTTACATCCCACAGAAGCCAACACGTCGAATGGGATCGAATTTCGGCCCATTTGCTGAATGAGATCCCGACTCACCTCTGATCCCTTCCTCTGCCAAGGATCTGGCCGCCCTGTGAAAAAGTCGGGCCAATATTGATGACTTCCTGCACCATACCACATGGAAACACGCAGGAACTACATGATTCAAGTTTGGTTGGGCCTTTAGCAATCTTTAGGGGGAGAAGGTTCCCGCTTCCGCACAAGGAACTGCACAAAATTGAATTTGAAGCAACTGAACTGCGTTGTTGCCCGAAGTCCTGGGAGTGTGGATCAATCTTCAAGACTGAGGGAGCGCAATTGGGGATACCGTAGATGCACCCATCACAGCCCAACAGGCCACCATACCACTTGCACTGAGCGGATGTTGGGCGAACGGACTGCAGGAACAGCGTGAAAGAAAAACATGAACTATCCCTGCAAAAGCCCCCAAAAAGTGTGTGTGAGGTCTAGGTGTAGTAGCATTGGGGTCCAGAGAGGTGATGGTGGTGATGAAGGTGGAGATCGTGGTGATGGGTGGCGGCGGTGTTGAGAGTGAACGAGGGTGAAAGTCAAAGTAAGTGAGCGGGGGTGAGTGTGAGTGAGAGTGTAAGTGTGAGTGAGAGTGCGGGTGCGAGTGCGAGTGAGCGAGTGAGAGAGAGTGAGAGTGAGAGAGTGAGAGAGTGAGAGCGTGAGTGAGTGTGAGTGTGAGTGTGAGTGAGAGTGAGAGTGAGAGTGAGTGAGTGTGAGTGTCATTGTAAATGAGAGTGGCAGAGTGGGTGAGTGTGAGTGAGAGAGAGTGAGAGTGAGAGTGTGAGTGAGACCCTCATCACTCTCACTCTCACTCTCACTCAGGGTTGAGGTGAGGGTGAGAGAGAGAGAGAGAGTAATTAAGTGAGTGAGAGCGAGTGTGAGGAGAGTGAGAGTGTGAGTGAGAGGGTGAGAGAGTGAGAGTGAGAGAGTACGAAATCTGCACTTCGAGGTTAACAAAGTGCTGCCTGCCACGAAATCTGCACTTCGATGTTCACGAAGTGCTGTGCCTGCCACGAAATATGCACTTCGAGGTTCACAAAGTGCTGTGCCTGCCACGAAACCTGCACTTCGAGGTTCACGAAGCGCTGTGCCTGCCACGAAAGCTGCACTTCGAGGTTCACAATGCGATGCGCCTGCCACAAAATCTGCACTTCGAGGTTCACAGCCTGCCACGAAATCTGCGCTTCAAGGTTCACAAGGTGCTGTGCCTGCTACGAAATCTGCAAACGAGCCACATCTCCAAAGTCACGATTCACTGTACACTGTACCTGTCGCGAAGTCAGACCTCGTCGAAGATCACCGCCATGTCCTGCGTGCTGTACCTGCCATGAAATTTGCATTTCGAAGTAAAGCAGCTCCGATCCCTGGCACCTGTCACGAGAAGTCGGCTTTGGACCACGAAAACACGAGGCTTCCCTCGCGCCTGCCACGAAAAGTGACCACCATGTCCGAAAATGCGCACGGCGCCACAACGAGAGCGCAGTCGCTAGAAGCACGCGCCTCGCCCACGCAGCAGGTTCTGCGAGCCTGCGCAGTTGAAATGCACGTTGACGATTTCGAGAGGCATGCATGCACTGTAAATAGCCACGCTCGCGTCGTCACCTCGATCTAGCCCCGGTGCTTAACTATTACCGTAAGAACCCCTAACTGTGTCCACACTGTTTGTGGAAAATAGTGGTCAAACAGTGACGGGGACTGTTTCATTTTCACCCCAAGGTCCACATGCGCCGAGAATGAGGAGAACTACTGTAAGGTACTAAGGTGTAAGTTTTCCCTGGAAAAGCACTGCCCAAGTTGCACTCAAAGATTGACGGCTGCAGCAAAAAAAACATGCAAATGCCCATGTGTCTAACTGTGCAGTGGAGGAGTCGTTTCACTATGATTTATGTGTTTTCACAATAATAGAGCACAAGAAAAGCTAACCAAGGTCCGGAGATGTCCGGACTACAGGGACATAGTCGCACAACAATGAAGCATCAATTCTGATCTAACTCCAAGGCACCCGCCCCTTGAGCACAGGCGAATCATGTGCAAAAGTGGTCACGGAGCCCTTGGAGATCTTGAGAACACACTCCGCATTGCATGGAATTCCATAGATGCTTTGGTCCTGAGGACAATAGACTCCACCATGCCACTTCCTCAGGAAAAAGAATGCCCACAGGGCTAAATGGAAGACACTGGACGAAGTTCGGAGCCGGGTACGTGGCCCAGCCAGTCTTCTGAGCAGGTGAGTGGTGCTTTTCTTGGGGTGCAAAGATCGTATACACTGGGCCACTGGGAAGCACGTGCGCGCGAATGTCTACAAAATGAACAAAATGTGTGTGTGCGCCGTTATGGGTGAGAAACAGAAGGGTTCAGCCAAGCCTCAGCGACCCCAGCAGGCCCCAGCAGGCACCATAGACGTAATTCCCCGCACCGCGTGCCACATAATGGGTGCAATGTGACACAAGCATACACAAGCCACGTTTACACACGCATTTCAAGTCGCAAACCACAACTACGCATTTCTGCCTTTTAATACTAATACTATGTGTGCCTACGCCGGTACCTACGCAACCCTCTGCCCCCAAGCAAGAACAGCCTACGCAACGTCCAAAGCAGTTCCATTATTTCATAGACTTATTCTGAGTGATTCAGAAAACCACCCCTATCACGAAGACTCAATCAAACCAAAGTACATATCCTAAAAAATGTTTGTTTTTTTTGTGGAAGAATGTGCAAAACTACGATGGACCTTGGCAGGGTGAGGGATATGTTTAAAATTGTCTTTTTGTGGGAGGGGTGTGCACAAATACGATGGACTTTGGCATGGTGAGGGTCTATAAAATTAGTGTTTCCAACCTCTGTATTTTGGGAGGCCAAAATGGTTGCATGGCATGGTCTGTCCATGTTTCTGCATTGCAAGCCGCGATAAGAGAATACATGAGAATACTTACTATATATTATCATGTGTCATTTTTTTGTGCGGGCTTCCGATCATGTGTCATGGGGGTGCAAAATAGGCATTGTTTACTTCACAACCAGCCCTGACAAAACAATGAAACAGTTGTAGGTGACAAAAGTTCAATCAACTCAGGCCACCCTAGTGGTTAGATTCTGACCAAATCTGTCTCGAAGGCAAGTGTATTCTCTTCTCCCCCTTCTGCACACTGGAAACACAGTATTATTCTACTTTGTATTCGCGTTTTCCTCTTCTCCCTCCACACTGAAAACAAAGTACTCCTGGGAGATGGACTTTGGCAACCCACCGCCACAAAAACAAATCAACAATTTGACATTGAACGGTTTGATATGTGTTCGTGCAAATTTGCAAAAAACGGTGGAATGTACCATGTGTCACATTTGTACAAGGCGTGCATTGCTTTCTGCTGGCATTACTTTTTCTGTTTGTTTGTGTGATGTTTGTTTTTGCTGACATCTTTTGGCTGATGGTGTTGTTTTGGTTCGCCACTCTTGTCTCAAAATGTGCAATGGCTCCTATCTACAACAGCATTTTGTCCAACAAATATCCAGCCACATCACCGCCAACAGCACCACCGTCATAGTTCATGAACGTTATTGCCTTGAAAGACACAAACGGCCCTTTATAAAGGCCAGTGCTTCAAATAAACCTTGACTTAAATAGACCCTAATCCTTCATATACCTTCCCTTTCTACACAGACCTGATTCTTTATATAATGAAAAACCAGCATCACCATTGGTTCATCTCTGAAAAATATTACAGTGTTCAAAACGATTCTTTTTATATAATGAAACGCCAGCACCAGGCCACTGGTCACCGGTCAACATGTGTTTCCTCATTTTCCAACATTGAGGTGGTTTATGAAAGGAGGTTCGGAAATGTCATTTGTAAAGGAACAGGTTCTTCATTTCATAAACAGTTAGATGAAGATCATCCTAACAAGAAACGGAAAGAACGGCTCAATATATGAACGCCAGAAGTATGTCCAGCCAGGCCGGGCCGTGCCATTGGCCAACAAAGGTTGCACGTGGTTGTGTCAATTCTCAAAAAAATGTGCAAAGCCACGGAATCATCACGGCATTTTCCAAAATGGCGGAGCATTGTTGGCAAACCTTCATCTTGGACAGTCTACACTTCTTCGTTGACGATCCAGGGCACCTTTGTGCTTTGAATGACCCCGCACGCATGATGGTTTTTGCACACAGGAGGCTAGCCACAAGAAAGTCCTCTAACATGCCGCATTGGGTTTCAGACCCAACGACCAAGAATTGCAACTAGATGTGCCAAGAATCCAGTCACCTTTGAAGACCTCACCAATCAAATCAACCTGCCCAGTGGCACACGTGATCTGCAGGACTTGGGCTGAGTTCGTCGGCACTCCTGACCGAAAGAACCCGTGCAAAAAGACAGATTCTTGCACACTCCGTCAAAAATGCATACTTGAATGAAATCCCAATGCAAGTGTGAACATACTTTAGGACGACAACGCACATTCCGCCATATGGACAAGAAAAAGCCTGGCAAGTTGGATCTCATGATTGTGCACGGACTCGAACAACGCACTCGTCCTCGTCGGACCAGTTTGGACACATATGGGCACATTTGACACGGATATCATCGTTTGGACCAAAAATCCTGCCGTATAGAACCTTTATCCTGTATCTTTAAGAAACCCTTGCTTTAGCAAGATGTGATTTGTAAAGCAAACTCTTCTATAAGGAAGTCCAATATACAATACAACGGCTGTTGGCTTTCTATGTGAAGCCCACACGTGGCCTTCTTTGTCTATGTCAGATTGGACGAAAACAACCTTATGGGAGTGTATGTTTTTGATGTTCCCTAGCCGGGATGTTTGACTATGGGCATGCTTCCGTGTGATACCCTTCGTGCGGTGCGAAGATGTGCGAAGACTAAAGTAGTTGCATTTTCAGAGGTATGCTTCGGAGTATGCTTCGCCCAAGTCGAACAGTTCAACTCTGCACAAAGTGGACAAGCCTTAAAATTATCCCGTTTCAGGTCTTGATCATCGCTCGTCAACTGAGTTCGAACAAAGGCTTCTGCTTTGGAAAACATTGCTGAACTGTATTGATAGGCGCCTTGTGATTTTAAACCCTTGAAGAACCGCCTTCTATATTCGCAAATTGCCCCTTAGCCTTAAAGCTTCGGCTGGAGATGCGCCTGACACTGAACCTGCATCTGCCAATGGCAGCGTCCCAAAAACAACACGGCATATCATGAATATATCCACAATTTCTAGTTTCACTTCTGCATCTTCTGCACTATTCTCTGCTATTCTATTCATGTGCCTTCCACGCTTCGCAGCTTCCCGCTTTGGGCGCTGTGCTCTGACGCTTCGAAGCTGGTCATGGTTGCATTCGGAAGCTAAACGGCTGTATTCGGAAACTGGGACGGTTGTATTCGGAAAGTAAAAACGGTTGTGTTCGGAAACTGGAGGGTTTATTCGGAAACTGGGCGGTTGTATTCGGAAACTTGTATTCGGAAACTACAGAACTATATTCGGAAACTGGTATTCGGAAACTGGAAACTAATGCTCGGAAAATACGAAGAGCAACAACAACACTATCTACAGAGATCATCAACTTTTCATGCAACTACCCACTGATGTTTATTGCCCCCCCACCCCACCCCCACAAATTTTATAGAATACGAGGAACATAGTTCTGACTACCACGAAAATAGTTTCTCAATACAACAAAATAGTTTCTGAATACAAGAAAAATAGTTTCTGAAGACTAGGTTCTGAATACAGCGCAGCTTCTGAGTTTCTGGATATATACGACTTTGTTCCTTCGAAGCTTCCTCGCTTGACGGAGCTCTGGCGACTTCGACGCTTCGTGGCCTCGCAACCCCAATATACAACTACGAGCAAACATTTTTGATTAAATACAATCTTAATTATACATTACACATTAAAAACATATATACAGTATAGGCTGGCTTTGGCTTGAATACCCACGCAATGGCAGTCCCTCAGCGGTCACTCAGTCGAGTCAATTCCACTTAAGAATCGGGTGTCAAAATGAAGTGCGTGGGGTTCATTGCTTGCCAATGGCACTATGCAAAATGAAATTCAAACCTTGAGACAGCCAAACCCAGCGCTCCGTAGATGCAGCCGTCGAGCGAAATGCCACGCAACCACCTGAGCAAGATGCAAGAGTTTTGAGAAAAAGTCTTCCTACCTCTCCGATTTACAACATGTGACAGCTGATCGAATACGTGCCACCGCTTGCAAATCTTCTCTGATGTGTATTGTAAAAGGCAGGAGTTCGGGGAAACTTCCGGAATGCTAACAAGCAAACGGCATGGCTCTTTTCCAATGCGCACCCAGGTGACTCAAGGCCTGAACCCGATGGCAACAGTCGGATCTAAAGCATCTCATGAATGTTCACACCTTCATCAGCCTCCTTATCTTCTTTATGAGTATGCTTTTGTTTGAGCCTTTGTTCCGACTGTCGACCGGACTCAAGCACTTTCGCTTCAACCTGCAGTCTGTACTTCGAGGTCCTCAGCAGGTCGTACATCGGCACTTCGTGTGCCTGTGACACCTTAGTCAGCATGTCAGCCGGGTTTCTGTTGTGTGGAACCCAGCGAATGCGAGAGCAAGTTCGAGACATGGAATCCCGAATCAAAGCTACCTCCAGCGACGTTCTGTCGCATTCACCTTGGCTCTGCTCATTCGAGGAAGCATCAAACACTCCCTTCGAGTCCAGGATGGCCACGGACTTCGGGTCGTGGAAGTTCTGGTCTTCTTCCGCGATGACAGTGGGCGTCCCGCGGAGGCCTCCATCATCCATCCTTTCAAGCTCATCCCTCACACTGTAGTTGGACTTGAGGAAGGAGTTCAATGTCGACATCTGCTTCTCCAATGCTCCATAGGCCGTGGAAAGCGCAATGCTTTCGCAGAGGTTCGAAGACCCAGCCTTGCGCCTCAGGCGCCTGCTCTTCCAGCTGATCAAGGAGATCGGCGCTTCTTCTCCTCGGTTCAGCTGTGGTGTGGTCACACCTTGAAGCCACCCGTGTTGGGGTTTGGTCTTCCCCGTAGGGTCGAAGGAGCTGTCGCTGATCAGCACGTGGCGGATGAGCTCCTCCTTGATGGGGTGTATGCGAATGACCACATCGATCTCTTTGAGCTTGGCTACGATCTTGTTCACCTCCAAGGCGTCAGCAATCGAGGGATTTGGAAAGACCCCCGAGAACACTGAAGCCGCTGCGGCGGCGTCTGGTCGTCCTTCTCGAGCGCACCAGTTGATGCTAGCCACAAGTTCCTCTCAAAGCAGATTCTTCATCATCAGTGAGTTGGACACTCTTGGCGTTCTTGACCAGGAACTTTCGCTGAAAGACCACCGGCTTGAGGCGGTTCTTGATGTAGTCAGCCATCGTCAGCTCGAAGGAGTAGTTCTCGAGTTGTCTCAAGCGCCTCCCGGCGTAGCCAGTGCCACTCTTCTCTTCTTGAAGGTTCACTGCCTTGCCAAATCTCAGGCGCTTCTCAAGCCATTCCATTCGCCTGCGATGCTCGGCGTTGCCAGCCTCAAGAACGTCGTCAATCTCAATGACAATCAGCCCTTGAGTGCGATCACCGGGCTTCCCTTCTCCCAAGCTGGTCGTAGAGCGAGAAGTTGAGCTTGTAGAGGAAGCTGAAGTTCCGGTAGGCGAGGAGGTCGAAGTGGTACCTGGAAGTGGTTTGAGGTCAGGCGGCTCTGCGTCCAAGGTCAGCACGCAGCGGTCATAGCTGTTGATGCGGTAGCCGCATTCTTTTACCAGGACCTGCAGGAAGCTCTTTCTCCACCAAGCAGGGCCACTGACAAGGCCATAGACCTCGGTTTCCAGTTGGATCAACTGATCTTTGGAGCAACCAGGAAACACTCCTCCAACACCAGGCGGCATAGAGCAGCAAAGGCGTTGCTTCCTTGTCGTAGGTAAGGATTGCAGGAAGGCCGTTTTGCAGTCTTTGATTCTGCCCGTCCAGCCTCTTGTAGCTGCAACCTGAAGGAAAAGCATGATGCTGCTGGACAAGGGCGTAGGAGCGCTTCTCTCAATGGCATGGATCCATGGGTCCCGCCAGCCAACAACACACCATCTCGACTTTGCAGACAAACCAGGATGGTCCATCGGCTCGAAGGTGGGCTCGTCGAAGTGCTCCGGCAAGGTCGAGAACTTTCCATCACCTGACGGCTTCCACCGGTCAACATACCGGCTGGGTAGGACACAGTCAGGATGGTCTCTTCGGAAGATTCGGCTTTCTTCTGGAGACAGAATGGTGATTGCACGGTTCTCGATCAGAGACTGCACCTCTTTGATCCTTGCATCCAGGAAAGCTTTGCGGTGAGCTGGATTAGTGAGCTTCTCAAACTCGATGTGGCCAGGCGCTAACTTGGTCTTTGTCAAGTAGATGCATCGGTCCGCATAACTGTAGGAACCTTCTGCCTGGTCCAGAGTGAAGTTGACGGTGGAGATCGGAGTGATGCCAAAGCGCTCAGCTCGTTGGTCAAACCACCAAAGTGCACCATCTTCTCCGGCAGTCCAGGTGGCTCTGCGGGTTCGCTCTTGGTCGAAGGTGACCACCTCAAAGAAGTGTGATCTTCTCTCCGGTGGCGTTGGCAAAGACCTCGGAGGTTCGGAGAAAGGATACGGCAGTGATCTTGCATGATCCTCAGCTGGCCGCATAGGTCCGAAGCTTGTCCTCAAAGTGCCACCGCGTCCTTCATCCACCTGAATGCTGTTTCGGCGGCTAGGTAGTGCTGAAGGCGGCATGCTCGTCAGCGGTGTGCTATGAGCTGCCTCATCCGTCCCCATATGGGTGCTCACTTCTTCACCATCATCCAAAGCTTGTTGAGGGGCTTCAAAAGCAGGTTGAAGATGCTCATATTCTGGTGTCGCAGCCATGAGCTCATCGTCAGTTTCAACCACACTGGTGGGTGTGTACTCCTCCATCGTCAAGTCAGGTTCTGCTGGACGAGGTGGTGGAGTAGCTTCTTCGTCCAAGGCTTCCATAGGTTTGACCTCGGCCTCGAAAGGTTGTTCATCTTCTTCACCAGGTAGTTCTTCAGACAAGTCATGGTAGCGGGAAAGCTTGCCACTCTTGATGTCTTTGATCATCTCCAGACTAAGCTCTTTGGCCAAGACTCTGCCCAGATCTTCTTCTCCGGTAGTTGGACGAACGTGCTCCTTGGGCACCTTGAGAAGGGAACCACGAAGACTGACCCACATCGTCCTCTGGTTGGGACTGATGGCGACAATAACGCCAGGACCACTCCAGCCACTGTGCAGGTTTGTCGATCTCCACACGTAGCACCAATCACCTGCGTTCAAAGGAGTTTGGTCGGTGGTCTTCGTCGGTGACTTGAGGGCTCTCTTCACGGTGTCCTCATCCAGAGCTCGCAACCAAGACTGAGCTGCCATGTCTCGGATCTGCCAACTGCGTTGCACATCCTCGGCTGCTGAGATGTTCACCAGGATGGGGTCCAAGATGTCGTCGGAGAGAAGAGATGCTGGCATTCGAGGGTTGTAGCCAAAAGCTCTCTGGTATGGTGTAAAACCAGATCTGTTGTAGAACCTGTTTCTTGCTATGCAAGTCTCTTTCACAGCCTGGAGAAATTCCGGCCATGTGTGGATCGCACACTCTGCCACCACCAGCTTCAGCTTCTGTTTGAACACTCCTCCGGCTCGTTCTGTTCGCCCGGCTTGCCACGGGGCATGAGTGTCGATGAGATGCACCATGACACCGAGTTGATTGAGCTTGTAGGCGAACTCCCGGCCAGTGAATTCTCTTCCCTGGTCCGTGACCAGTAGCGTAGGAGGGCCGTATGGCGTGAGCCAGGAATCAGTGAGAGCTGTCATCGTCTGGGAAGCTGTCTTCTGTGGCAAGTAGGTCACATTCTGCAACCCAGTTCCCCAACAGATCACATTCAGGAAGGCATGTAGTTCTCCACCATACTCCAGGAAGATGACATCAGTGCCAATCACTTCATTGAACTTCAAGCCATGTGCAAGATGTCCTGGTCGAGGTGTCTTCGGCTTCTGATGCTGCAGACAGATGGGACAAGTGAAGTGCCGCTTGACATACTCCAAGACTTCGTCCTTGACTTGGGCATGCTTGAGAGCCCGGATGAAGCTCTCCTGAGACGGGTGTCCCAGGTTCCGGTGTAGTCGAAACACTTCTCTCCTCAGGTCTGCTGGGATACTCGCATCAGAGCGGTTTTGAGAAAGATCTTGAGCCAATGCTTGCACCTCGTCGGACTCAGCAAGTGGCCTGATCTCATGTTTGGCCTTTTCCAGCACAGGGTCGGCTTCTGCAGGAGCTTGCATTGGGTGATCCTCCAGGGCTTTCAGCCGTTTGTGCGGTCGACCTTCAGCAGAAGTAGAGGGCGTCGAAGACGGCAAAGAAGGCGCCGCGCCAGAAGCCGCAGGAACATCATCTCCCCGGCCCAAAATTTTGTGGGCTGGAAAAGCCGTGAACAAGTAGGTCATGTAGAAGAACTCGTGCTGGAAGTGGGACTCCTCAAGGATGTAGTCAGCCAGAGGTTGTGACCAAGCTCGTGCGTAGTAGTTGACTCGGTCTTGAAGCTCTGACGGAAGCAGCACGGGGTCTTCTGCAACATGCACGTAGTCCACTCCTCGGCCGCGAAGGTGGTGTCTGAGACCTTGGAGAACGGCTCTGACAAATTGGAGAGTGTATTGAGCTGCAACTGCTGCTCGTCCACCGCCAAGGAGAGGTTGATGTGAATGCTTACCATCGCACCGGTACTTGCGAAGAAGGCGTACCAAAGGCCAAACGTTGGTAACAAGTGCAGTAGGTTTCTTGGCCAAGCCTCCGTCGGTGTAGAGCTGGAAAGCGCACATGTCCACCACAATGCTGTAGACTCCAGGAAGCTGCACAAGGGCTTCCGCTTGGCTGTCTTTCCAACTTTCTGCATATCGAGGATGCTCAAGAAGAAATCCTCGGCGTTCCCGATGCTGAAGTCGAGCAAGATGGATGGCAAAATGCCAATGCAGTAGGGCGTCCTTCAACTCCTTATCCACCACACCTGCATCTCTTTTGAAAGTTGACAGCCGTCTAAGGGTGCTGAAGGCTGTGCATGGTGGTGAGAGTATCAACAGGGCAGGACGACATTCTGCAATCAACCTGAGAGCTGCTTGTCG